TCTGTAGTTGAGAGTTCCAATGAGTGGTGAATGCATCAATTATCGGGGTCCTGAACTGAGAGCAAGTCCCCTGAAAAACCTCATGATGGAGCATCCATTTGGTCAGGAGAATTAAACTGGGATAAGACAGGAGGCTGATATGATGGGAGTGAGTCCAGTAGAAAATATTGAAAGTTCAAAAACATAGGTACCGAGAACACATGCCCCTTGATGGGAAATGGAAGAAACTATTGTAGAATTATTGGAATGAAGCAAGATGATATTCCCCTTCATTGGATCGAAACCTTGAACCATTTCCCATTGAACAGAATGAAGTCCTAAAATATTGATGTGGAAGGAATTCTTGACCTTCAATATATGCACCCCATCCCTGGAGTGAGGCATTTGTGAAAAGATTAATATCGGGATGAAGGGGCGATATAGGAACACCAATGGTGGTGGTGTTCCAGTCCAACCACCTCTCAAGACCTAAGATGCTACTCCTGATTAAGGAGACTGAATGATCCAGTGGATCATAGTTTATGATCCATTGGTCACACAGTGACCACTGTAGGGACCACATGTGTACTTGTCCCAAAGGAATCAGAAATGTGAGAGATGCCCACATCCCTAAAAAAGAAAGAACCATCCATACTGTGGGAGATATGCATCAGCAACATCAAACTTGGTCATCCACAGACCTGGTGAAAATGCCAACATAGGTTGAGAAAGGACTCCATTGCAAACTTGGGAGGATCTAAGAATTGCTTGAGATGAGAAAGATCGAGGCTGCCAATCTCCCATCTTCTTGGGCACGACAAGTAAATGGAAATAAAATCCCATAAAAATGGGATTGACTTTCTGTAACATCCTCTTGACAAATAACTCTCTGGTAGCCTTGAAATGAAGATCCACACTCCACAGATCTGTTGGGGGGTAGAAATACCACTGGTTGGGAGGATAATGGAGGTGGAGAAGTGAACTGAATGATCAACCCCGATGCCAAACCTGAAGTACCCATGGATCTATGGTGAAAGAATTCCAGGTATCCAGAAAATGTTGTAACCTCACTCCCACAGATCCACCCACATAGAGAAGTCACTGACGCCATTGGTGATGGTCTGGCTAAGCAGAGGAGCCTCAAAGATAAAGACAAAATCTTTTCTGAGTACCAATAGATCAAAGAGCAGAAGCCGTGGTTTAGGACCACAATGAGCAATTGTCTAAGTGTCAACAATGACAAGAAAGAATGCAAACAGGCGACATCAATTCATAATTCCAATGATTCTGGGATGCCCATGAACATCAATGGGTGAAGAAAAAGAACCTCATGTAAATCACGGAGGGCTACAGCAAGTAGACAAATTCCCTTATATAAGGCATCTCTACCCAATTTATCCCAACAACATACAATCCATAAAATTAGAGAGAGAGCTGAATCTTACAAAAGTAGAAGTCAGTAATGGCCCCAAATCGTCCTCAAATTGATGTGGGGAACACAGATAGGCTTCTGACAAAATTTGGAGGGAAGATAAATATCTGAGAACAGTAGTGAGGGTCAAAATTGTGATCTATTCAAAGTGATCACAGAGTCTAGTTTGGAACCCCACATATCCAAAAGAGGATCAAGTCTTTGGGAAACTAAATATACGTCCTCCTGGCGGTGATAAGCCAAAGCATGCTGTTCTGACAAATGTGGGGGGAAAAGTAATTGCTAACCCGTCACATAATTGAGCAGTAAATCTCCCAGCATGAACTTCAATATCAGGTGAAGAAGGAAAAAATAAGTATTCACCCTCAGAACTTCCAGCCTTCAAAAAAGGAGTAGATTCACAGGCCACTGGAGAAAGCTCCTAAACCTTACAAACCCGAATGACTAACCAAAGAAATGGAGCAGGAGGTGGCTGATCTAAATTGGCCTCGTGAGAAGCTGACTTCGTAATTAAAAGCACTAGAAAAAGAGGGTCCAAATTCTCTCCACACTGTCCTGGATCATTGGCAAAAGCAGCCTCAGAACTCCCTGGAGAGATGCCTCTGGATCGAAAATATGTATCTACCTCACAACGAGTCAGATCACAGCCTCAACTGAGAATGACCCCCTCTCCTCCCAGACATTTGAGAGACACTAGATAACAGAGATGGTATATAAGAGGGCTGCTTAGCCTCTGTTCCGGAAACAGTAACCTGTGAATTCATGTCTGACAATGGCATGTCACAATGTTTTTGTTTTTTAAATAATAATTATTAAATATAATTTATACAGAAAGCAACTAGGTGACACAAAATTGCAACCAAGGACGTTAACTATCACAGCACCTCTGTAGAGAAACCCATGTGTAAGCACTCTGTTGAGAAAAAGTGATAAAGTTAGCTGAATGAGGTATGAGGTGCTTATATACAATACCAGGATAGAGGGTACATTGGTGTCGGTGGAGAGTATTATGAGACAAATATCTCCAAGGGCAATTGAGTGGGGTATAAAAGAGTGGAGCAAGCAAGAAAAAATCAGACCAATGCTTAAATGGGCAAAGTTGAAACCCTTGCAGGCAAGTAATAGCTATAAGTGGCAGTGGAGGTAAGTATGTTTTGGAAAAGAAAATATTTAATATTGATTTTTTCAACTCTTTAAAATAAAACTTCGTTATTTAACACAGTATTTGCACTCGGACCCTGAACAGTTCACCTTCAAAGAGATTTTAATGTTAAGTATAACAATACCAATGTTTACCATACAGTTTTCATATTTTGCTTGCATAATGCTTAGAATCTCTTAAATGAATATCACATATTGTTTAAGGTAAATACTGTTACGACAGCGGTAGTCACGTGACGCTGGTAACACGTCATGATATTCTAGAAGATTCACGAAGAAACGAGATGTACGCTTTTTGTATATATAAGACCGGTAAGAAGTAACGGCAACAATGGAATTGAATTGCAGACAGAAATAGAGACGGACAATTGAGTCAAGCGTGTGAATCGTTCATTGTGAATTATAGTGTTTGTTTAAGTCAAAGTGACTGAAGGAGTTGATGATGGTGAAATGGAACCAGGTGTAGATATTAAATCAGAGCAGGAGAAAGATCAAGATTTGAAGCCAATAATTGATTTTCTAAAAGCAAGTGTTTTGCACCCTGTTTGGGAGAAGGTGTCTAGTCTAAGCCCTGTGACAAAGAACTATTGGGCACAATGGGACCAGTTGAAGCTTGAAGATGGTATTCTTCTCTGGAGATGGGAAAGTGACGACCTGGCAAATGGTTATACTGAGAAAGTTATGGGAAGTTATGTTGCGTCAATCCCATGATAATTTAACAGGAGGACATCTCGGAGTTAAGAAGACATTGAGTCACCTATGACAGAGATTTTACTGGATAGGTATGAGGCAAGATGTGGAAGAATGATGCAGGACATGCAGTACATGTTGTGCTAAAAGGGGACCCAAGCATAAGAGTTGCTTGAAAATGTGTCAGAGTTTGTGAAAGTTTTATCA